GGGGAGGGGGAGAGAAATCTAATTTCCTGCCTTATCAATCTTGCTTTTGAATAGATACTGGGATTCTTCTCAGAACTATTGTGACCCAATGACTGCGTATTTTCAGTGTGAAGCGATCAGTCACAATTCAGATGGTGGTAGCCTCATTCTCTCTGTAATGGGGAATTATTACGAGTGCAGCTGTATAATTTGGCGGATAACTAACCATAAGCGGTGTTTGTGGGGTAGTGATTTATGACTGAGTTACATGCACTCTTTCAGAATACTATCAGATTTAAGATTTTGTTACGTGATCCTTCAGAAAGTTACCAGATTGCATGTTTCACATGTATTTTAATTTCTTTTCTGTTATTTAACGTCACGGTGGCATCAATCACTTGCACTTGAACTACTGATAAATGTGACTTTAGAGTTAATCAGATCAGAAGGAAGAAGGCAGGGACAACAGGCGGGCAGTGAATTAATGAGCTGCTTTTCATAGCCAATGCTGAAATATTACATAAATGGAAGGCCTTTCTCTGATTGTACAACGACATAGCAAATGGTCCTAAAATTTATGAATCTAGCAAACAATGCAAGCAGAGGCAGAGCATTGTTCACTGAAAAAAAAAAATCACAAGCTGCTTTGAAACTGAGAAGATGTAGGAGAGTCAGTCTACTTAATAGTGAAATTATGTGCGAACCTATTTGAATAAATGTTCAAGTAAAAAAAAAAACCCCAATAAGATTCATTTCTAGTTATAAAGAGGAGGACAACCAACGCAATGCTGTTGGAGAGAAGAAATATCTAGATAATGAACAAGGTATATAAATCAAATGGACAGAGCCAAGGTCTGTAGTGAACAAGGTCTGGGAAAGTTCCTAAGCTGCCAGCTATGGAGTCCTATGAGGGACAAAACAGACCAGAAGGCCATGGCCGAACTTATTTTGGTTTAATCTGTCCTTTGCAAGATTTCTCCACGAGCTAAAACCAGATAACATTTATTTATACTCCAGAAGAGACATTAAAAACCACTAGTAAAACTTTGACATAAACTAACACAATCCAGCCAGGGTAGGGCTGGAACAGTTTTTATAGTGGGGGTACGGTGAGTCAGTGAACTGTAAGCCCTGTGTTTGATGAAAACCACTCCTAGCCAAGGGGTGCTGGAGCATCTCCTGCAAACCTAGTTCCAACTGCTATGAGCAAGATTGGAATGTACTGTGCTGTGTCTTCCAATGCTAAGGGCACAGCTACACTTCTGGAAGGATAGATGCTCTGGAGAGTGATCCTCTGGTGTTCGATTTAGTGGGTCTGGTAAGGACCCACTAAATCAAACACTGAGGGTGCCCTCTATTGACCCCAGAACTCCTTGCAGTTGCAAAGAGTACGGGAACTTGACAGGAGAGTTCCTCCCATTGACCTCCCACTGTGGGGCTGCCGCAGAAAAGTTGATGCAAGATACATCGACTCCAGCTATGCAATTAAAGTAGCAGAAGTTATGTATTCTGCATCGATTTTCTCTGCCAGCGTAGACGGGCCTAAGGCACAAGAAGATGCATGAAAAGAGTGGTTAAGAGATACCCCATCCCAATACTTGGGAACAATGGGACAGGACCCTTGGTCCTCAGCTGCTGTAAATGGAGCTACAGACAAATGAGTTATGCTAACGAGATGGCCCATGGTACATTTCAGCGTTCTTTGTGAAGTTCTTCGCTTGTATCGATTGGTGCCCCAGCCTCCCTGAACTATTTAGTTTCTGGTTTGGTGGGCAAGCTTCCTTGTTTGAGAGAGTCTCCAAATTTCATGTTTGTGGGTTTACCTACCTTTTGTGGGTGTTTGCAGAGCCCTTCGAGGACAGAAAGTGCTACAGAAGCGATACAAATAAAACATCAACAAGAAATCTCATTAGAGGTGAATTTGTGGACTACAGTTTGTTTGACCCTGCACCAGAAGACTTGAAAAGGAATTCATGATGGGCCTGTATTGCATTCTTGTAAAATACAGGCCATGACCCCATCTAGTTGAAGATAACAACCTACTACTGTTGCCAAGCTAATGCAACTATTCTTTTATCTCAAATGGGAAAGGCTCAGTGTTTTGGTGCCGACTGGTCTTGTTTTTGACTTCACCATTAATTTATATGATCACATCCCACAAAGGTGCAAGATTCCACTAGGAGTTGAGGACACTTAGCACCTGGCCGGATCTGGCCCAATGAGTTGGATGATTCTCAGCTCCTGACAGCTGGAGCTAATGAAATGGTTCAGACAGAGGCAGGCAGGCAGCAGTACTGGTTACAGTTTGGGATTATGCAATAGGCAGTAGATTTAAAACTTTTCTTCATTCAGCGCACAGTCAGTCTGTGGAACTCCTTGCCAGGGGATGTGGTGAAGGCTTGGACTTTAACAGAGTTCAAAAAAGAGCTAGGTGGATTCGTGGCGGTTAGGACCATTGATGGCTATTAGCCAGGATGGGTAGGAAAGGTGTCCCTAGCCTCTGTTTCTCTGGAGGTGGGTGACAGGGGAGGGATCACGTGAGGATTACCTGTTGTGTCCCCTCCCTCTGGGGCATCTGGTATTGGCCACTGTCGGCAGACAGGAGACTGGGCTGGATGGACCATTGGTCTGACCCAGTATGGCCGTTCTTAAGTTCTTATGTTCTTAATTATCCTGGAACATAACATAACAAACATCACAAGACTAGGCTGATCCTGAGGGATTGAATTGCTTAATGGCATTGATTGCAATGTGTCCAGAAATGACACTGCAAAGGCTTGGTAACTTACCTGCCAAGAAGCTTATAGAGACACAGAGGCTATGTCTACACTATAAGGTTTTTGCGCAAAAACCGGCGGAGCGTCCACACCGCAAGTGTGTTTTTACACAAGAAAATCGACAGGACAGAGGGCTTTTGTCAGTAGAGTTATTCCTCTCCCCACAAGGAATAGCTCCTTTTCATGCTACAGTTCGTGCACAGAAAGGCAGGTGTGGACGCTTCAGAGGGGGTTTTGCACAAGAAACCCCTATCGGCAAAAGCACAGGTGCGCCGATGGCCATTCTGTGAATGGCCATCTGAGCTTTCTTGCGTAAGACTGTCCGTGCAGTGTGGTCGCTCTCTTGCGCAAATGGACTTGCTTTGGCAAAGCACTTTGAGGTCTGGACATGCTTTTGCACAAGTTTTGCGCAAGAACTCTTCCACAAAAGGCTTCTTGCGCCAAAACCCTGCAGTGTAGACAAAGCCATAGAGTGTGGCTTGAATGCAAGTCCCTGCTCCTCTTCTGTGGTGTGACAATGGCTGTTACACTTGCAGACTGCTAATGGGACAGAAATCACAGCAGCTAGGGAAACTTCCAGCTTGCACCCTGCCTTTCCCTCACTGCACCGGTTACAGCACATTGCCACAGGAAGTGGGTACAAAGTCATTTTTATCTGACCGTGCTCTCCCTCACGGTCATGGAGACACAGTAATAGTCAATGACATTGGCCAAAGATCAGCAAGGATGACTCAAAAGGGGCTGTGGAGACTCTGTTCCCTTCCCCACATCTCAGAGATTGGAAACCTCCTTCAGAGATGGCATTTCAGCTGGAAAACATCACTTTTAAGGTGACACATAAAACTACCCTTTTTCGAAAGAACCCTTATTCCTGAAAAAGAAAGAGATTTACAGGGTTCTTTTGAAAAAGTTTTTTTTCCCCGAAAGAACCCTGTCAAGCCTGCTTTTCTTTTCGAAAAAACTTTTTCAAAAAAGTGATTGGCTGAGATTATGCAAATGAAGCACTAGATTTGTAAATCAGTGCTTTGTGTGCATTTTCGATTTCCCTCATTTGCATTCCTTTTTCGAAAGACGAATGTAGTCTAGACACACCCTCAGACCACTTATAGTGAGACATAAGAACAAGGGAGCTCTACAGCCTAACCTGAGACGCCAGCTGGCTTTATAGCTCAAGCGGTAGAGGCTTCTACACTAATCTCTGGAAGTCCCAGGTTCAAAGCTACCTGGTGGTGGTAACACATGCACCATCTAGATCACTCCTGCTGGCACCATGTAACCCCTCTGCAATGAGTGGCATTAGCTCTGCTGGCAGTAGACCCAATCTGCCTCAGTGGTGAAACTTATGCTGGTCAGGGGTGTTTTTTCACACCCCAGATGGACAGAAGTTCTAGTGTAGACAAAGCCTCAAGGTCAAGCCCTCTGTCCAGGTCAGAGCACCAGCAGTCTATGGCCCAGCTCCCTGGCTGAGGCAGACAACCAACACACACACATTGTTGGCCCATGGTGAGTAGGTTGTTATCCCAGGGGTGGTGCTGGCAGTAGGAGGTAGGGGGACCTGGGCCCATCCTACTGCACTGGGTCCTAGCCCAGGGTCCTAACAGCATTGGAGAATCTAGCCAGTGGGTCAGCAAGGATCCTGCCAAAACATGCTGACCATTGTTTCAGCAATACAGCCAGACTGGTGTCTGGTTTCTCTGGACTACTGCCAACTTTACTCCGCAGCGCTCCCTCGGGGTACTCAGCAGCCCGCAGCTCCTCTGGGTATTCACCTGGCACCAGCCCCTCCAAAGGCAAGGTGGAGTCAGCTTGATCCATGGTTCCGGGGCCAGCAGCCGTGTCTGACTCCTTCCCTGGCTCTCCCTCAACCACGCTGGAGGTCCCGCCTCTCCTACTTCCTGTTCCACCTCTCTGCTTAAAGCACAAGGGCCACGCCCAGCTTGGCTCCACCCACTAAGGGGTGGGGAGCAGTTCCTCTTCATCTGCATCCTCCTTGCTACACTACCTCTTCTCTCCACCTTATTTCTCTCTGTTCATAACACCAATGCATATCTGCAGTACTCTGCATTAGGGGGATTGGTCCCTGGCATAGTAAGATGAGGGTAGGAGACGTAAGCCAATGCATCACAGGCCTGGTCTGAGGCCTAGCTAACAATGGACAAAACATGGTGAACATAAAGCAAAGCTAAATGGTGAGCTAAAGCAGACCTCTGCTCACAGACCTCGGCATGACCAGAGCTGAAACTAATTGGTAAGAGGCCCAAGGCTGAGACAGCATAACCCCAGCTGGAGAGCAGTAATTGGGGGCTCATCATGAGTTGTAAACGCACAGCTATTGAAAAAGGCCATGATACCCACTCCCCATAAATACCAACTCATGGTCAGGAAAAGGGTCTAAGATAAACAGCTTGATGGATGTTTACTCCTCACAAATACTAATTTAGAGTTAGGAAAAGGTCAGGGTTGATACATGATGGCTGGAGATGGTCTAATCAGATCATGAGGCATAAGGTGATTTGTGGTAGCCTGGCGACATCAGAGGGCAACAACCTCACACGTTTGCAGTGATGTGTTTGTACCTGTATATAAGGTGGTGTCTTGAGGTACTGTTTTTAAATGGCCTAGAGGGGCAATGGAAGTGTTTCATTGTGTTGAGCCATTCCATTGTTGCGGGGTACAAATGCATAGTGGTTCAGTAGTCTATTGACAACTATTAATGCACTTCACTTAACAATAAACCTGGAAGGGTGCCTTCAATACTTATCTGATTTGTGGTCTTTGGAGGGCTCTCTTGGAGTCTGCTGTGAAGACGAAATGCACTGGTCTACATGGCTCACATCACTGAGCACACACGCAAGCAGCCTTCTGGTTATCATTGACGGAGTCAGAGACGCATGAGGACATCGCAATGGTGAATCCTGCCCCCTGCTAATAGCATTGCAGAACAGCTGCCTGAATGACAACATTGGTGATCCTGAATAACAACACCTGGGTGAAAGGAAATCCAGCCTGTGACCTGTGAATTGTCTGCAGCATCTGATGTGGTGAGGCAAATGTTCACTTCAAATCCTATTTAGCTTGGTAAAGTTTAAGAATTAGCTGGAGGTTTTACCTTTTTATTTCTTGTGTGTCCAGTTTTAGCGTTTGTGCCTTATCATTTAACATCTTTCTCTAGTTAATCAACTTGGTTTATGGTATTGTCCAAATCCGTGAGCTTGATCGAAGTGATTGGCAAATCTATACTTGGGACAAGAGGGCTGGTGCATTTTCCTTACCCATCACGGACTATTGATGAGCTTGTACTGTCTAGCAGGCTAGTGGACTATTGACGAGTACAAGATGCACATTTCTGGGGAGGACAAGGTTGAGACTGAAGGATACGCAGGTGTTGGCCTGTATATACAATTCATGGATAGCTGGTAGAGCGTTCATGTATTCCACTGGAAGTGATTTTACATGCTAGTGGCTGTTCACAGGGACTGGTGGTTTAAAGATACACAAGCAAGTGGCTTAGGGAACATAACAGTCCAGGTTGCATCCTGGGGAAAGCCATCCCCCCACCCTTCTTTCTCCTACTCTAGCAATGCTTCAGCCTCTAAACCACCTGCCCATTCTCCCAAGTTCACTCATCCCCTGATCTTATCAGCACTTCTGTCCAGCCAAAGGACCCTCCATCCCTGTAAGTCTCCTCTGTGCTGTAGATCTACTTCAGGATGGACAGTGGTGAAAGAAGATGGTGGAGAACCACAGAAATGCCATGGAAGCAAGAGACTCAACTTGGCTGGGTAGCAGTTAGGGCCTGATGTTGAAACTGCCTCGCATTTCCAGACACAATTATGCAATATCTGTGTAGGTCACGCGATGAGAGACACACGAGGCAGCTGAAGTATTGGGATCAACAATACTTGATCATCAGAAATTGGTCCAATAAAAGATATTAGCTCCCCCACTTTGCCACTCCTTAGGGAAAGGGAGCTGAGTTTGCACACTACAGAGCCAAAGTAGCCCACAGCTACTCCCTGGGAGGAAGGAGTTTTTGGAGCTGGTAAACTCAGAGAAGGGGACAATGGGCCGCAATTGACTGCATCAGAATTTAAACCATGTGGAGCAAAATATGACTTTGATCCTATTACTAGCTGCCTACTTTACCCACAAGTGAATGGAGAGGCTGAGAGAGCTGGACAGCCAGCCAAGAAAAACCTATAGCAGGAAGAACTGTTCCTTGCTCTTCTGAGCTATAGATCAATACCAATCGCAGCTACTGGACACAGTCCAGCACAACTCCTGATGGGAAGGCAACCCCGGACTACTGCTCCAACTTCAGAAAAGAACATGTTTCCAAAGTGTCCAGACAGGAAGAAAATAGCCAAATAGAACAAAAAAGCTGAAAGCGCTTCTGGCTATTTTTACAAATCAGCGTGCTGCCTGGTCTAGAACCTGGTGATTATATTCACATCATATGGGATGGAGAAAAGGGATGGACAACTCCAGGTGTTGTAAAAAAAAGAATTCAGCACCCAAACCGTATGCAATTCAGAGCCACAGTGGAGAGTTCAACAGAAACCACCACCATGCATGGTTTGTTCTCCAGAAAGAACCACCACCAGAGCAGACTGTAGAGATGGCAGTTGCAGAAGACAAGCACAACCAGTCAACGCAACTCCTGGATAGCCAATGGCCAAGTTGTCATGCATTTGGGCCATGTAATTAGGAAATCAACAGGATTCAGAGACACTTAAGAGAAATTGTGATGGTGTAAATACTGTAAATGGTAGGAATGTAGAACTTATATTCTTAATGGTCATCTGAAGAAGTGGATTGTGCCCACGAAAGCTCATGCTACTTTCTAAATTTTTTGGTTAATCTCTAAGGTGCTACAGGACCATCTGTTGTTTTTCTACATCTTTTTAAACTACAGACTAATAGGGCTATCCCCCTGAGAACATTAAGGGTGCATCTACACAGCACCCTAAATGCGAAATAAGGTACGCAATTTGCTCTATGCAAATTGCATATCTTATTTCGATTGAATTTCAGAATAGCTTATTTCAAAATCTGGTGCATCTACATAGCTCTAAATTTCAAAATGTAGTAACACTATTTCGAGCCATCCCTTAACCCTTGTGGAACAAAAGTTACAGGGATGCTGAAATAGCGTGTCCACTATTTCGAGACCTATCTCGAAGACGGGGTAGCTATTTCAGGATACTTCCGGTATCCCGAAATAGCCCCACTGTATAGACGTACCCAAAGGGGGAAATGTAATGGAATGCTAAATTGCATTATACGTTTTGCCACCAGGTGGCACTGTACAAAGTGCAGTATACCCTTTTCTAAGGTGGTCGGTCTGTTCCTAGAAAGCCATGTGTGATGTGAAAACCATTGTATAAACTGACGACTAAATGGGAAAACACGACACGACAGTCAGACACATTGGGGGCATGGGAGGGAGCATGGGGTGTGGGCTCTGGGCAGGAGCTGGGGCGTGCCATGGGCAGCAGGTATGCTAGGTGGGGGAGGGCCACTGCCTTCCCAAAACACCAGCCTGGCCCCACCCATATTCTGCCCCTAGAATGCCTGCTGGGGGTGGAGAGGCTGGGGCCACCCACCTGCCCACCCTCCCCAGGATGCTGAGGGGCAGGGCCTGGGCAGAAGGGGTGGGGCTGGGTTGGGTTGGACTACTACTCATTACCACCAATAACGAGTAGTGGAATGAAAGGAGGAAGGTGTTGGGGGTAGAAGATGTGACAGCAGCCTGTGGAGAGGTTCAGACTCACTCTGGAAGCTTCAACATGGACTTTGGAACTCACCTAACCAAACTTTAAAAAAAAGATGGGAAAGTCGAAAGAGCGGATCCATGCATCTCTTGTGGTGTTGTCTGCAAGGGGAGGCTCCTTGTTTATTTTTATTTTTTTCCAATTCCTTCCTTCCATTTGCCCCCACCTGGTTTGACTCTGCCACTTCCCTTATCTTCTACACTGGCCGATGCTTGGCCAGATATCGATGGCTGGGCTGTGGGCACAGTAAGGATGAGGGGCACAGTGGCTGATCCTAGAGACTTTGAGCCTGAAATAGACACAACAGGCACCTTACGACTCCTCTCTCTTAGCTCCCCCTGGGAAGGGACAGTGTCCGGTGAACAGAGGGTCAGAATAGCCAACTCTGTCACCCCGAGCAGAAGCCCCAGTGCATGGAGGGCGATAGAGGCATTTTGGGAGTAATCTTCTGTTTAGACTCTTCCCAGTAGATGTTATGTCCCCAGTGCAGCAGAGAGTGAGCCTCCCAGCCCGAGCAGACAGGCTCACACCAGCCTCGCTTAGGCGAGCACACTAAAACCAGCAACACTGGTACTCTGGCAGAGACTCAGGCTAGCCGCCCAAGCGCAGATGCTGGGGGCCAGATGGGCTCAAAAATGCAAGTGGCCTCTGAAACCACAACAGCCACACTGTTACTCTTAGAGCTAGTCTGTCTACCTGGCCTGGGAGACTTGCTCCTAGCTGTAGCGTAGACACAGCCTTGCATGGGGCTGCTGGCAGGTGGTTCATGTTAGGGTAGCCCAGTGGTTGCTCTAAACTGTGCTGACGCCTTGAACAGAGGAGATTCAAAGGGGGGAGAAGAGGTTCAAAGGGGGGAGAAGAGGCCTGGCAGGCTTTGGCCCCAGGCAATGAGTAAAGGAAAGCAGAACAGGAGAGGGAGTCCCCCAGTTCTGGCAGCACTCCTCCTTCGACTGCCCTTACCCCTCACAAAATGAGGGTTACGGGAGCTGGAGTAAGAAGTCCTCCAGCTCGACATGATTTCGAAATAAAGGCTGTGTAGAC